CCCCTTTCTCTAGGTTCAAATAGGCTCAATTCTTATCCAATTAGTCCCATATGCCTCAAGGATCCGATTAAGCTCCTAATTTGGCCCAAAGCTATCTCAGGTTAACTAACATACGTTAACTCAAAACTCTCAATCGTTGCAAAATTATAAGAATATAAAAATATTTAAATCTACAAAAATAAGAGATGTCAGTGTTTAAAAATATTGGATCAAAAAATTTAAGGGTCAAAACTACTCTTACATCACACATAACTCTGTCACTATTAAACAATATGATTATAATCCAAACAAAAAATTTGAGAAGACGAGACTCTTTTTTTTATGCAGAAGGAAGTCTAAAAACGAAAGAAATTTATTAGAGTACAAGAAAAAGAAAAGTGGAAATAACACTAACGATCTTAAGTTCCAAAAAAAGAAACAAAAGAAATTCTTCTACTTATTACTGATAAAATTATATTTTAACGAGTAATCATATGATTCAATTACCCATACAAATCCTACATTAATACCTAAAATGGACAAAGAAAACAAAGTAGATAATGTCAAACAACATCAAAACAGTGAGGAAGGAAGGTCGACACGGGCAATTAATCGACATAAGCAGTTCCATGAACATGATAATTTCCACCAGAAGAGCTCCTTAATTTGAGATGGCTTTCTCATATTGAAAGTATGCAACTAGCATCCAGTGGCAGAATATGGTGATAGGGTTTGGGGAGCAACTCAAACTTTTAAAAAATTTGGAGGTTTAAATTAAAATGCCTTGAGTTTGTTGTCGTAACGGTTTTTAAAATTTTGGAGGTTTAAATTAAAATGCAACTAGCATCCTAGCACGACTTTATCCCATATTTCTCTTTGTTTTTGCATGGTGTTATTCACAACGTTAAAATGCCTTGAGTTTGTTGTCGTAACGGTTTTTAACGATACCACGACATCATAATTACATCCCAAATTTATAAACATAACGAATTTTAAGTAAAAAATCACATTTACGATAGTTATTTTTGAATTATATAGTATGACCTTCAAATCCACAATAGGAATTATAACCGTAATTTAATACTATGATTCTACTACACTTGATTTTGGGTCAACTACAATGTCTTCCCCATGTTGCTTGCATGCATGCTAGTTAACAACGTTGTAGTCTGGATGTAAAATCCGGAAGTTACTGTGTAATCTACGCAAGAACCACAAGGTATTGTAGTAAACACCCTAGTTCAAAATATAATTTCTTGTGCACCTTATACGAACAATTTTTTTCACCACATTATTATTCCAACAAATTTACCAGCCTTGTTGCTATTTGTTTTTCGTGGTCGATTGTTTGGTCGACCGTCTCTTCTCTCTTACCTTTTTGGTACTATTCTTCTCTTCGTGTTCTCCTTCTTGCTTTAGACATTGCTTCCCTCTCCTTACTTTTACACAAGCCATTCAGATTGGCTTTCGGCAGTCTTTGACTGGCGATGACAGAACTAATCTTGTTTCATCGATTGGAGGAGAATGTGACCTAGAGTTTTGTCCCTTTGTTTTTTGTAGCCCAGCGCGACTTTATCCCACGTTTCTCTTTGTTTCTGCATGGTGTTACTCATAATGCTTGAAAGCCCTTGAATTTGTTGTCGTAACAGTTTCTAACGATATCACAACATCATAATTACATCCCCAATCTGGAAACATAACGGATTTTGAGTAAAATATCACATTTACGATAGTTATTTATGAATTATATAGTATGACCTTGTATCCACAGCAGGAATTATAAACTTAATTTAATACTATGGTTCTACTACACTTGATTTTTGGGCCAACTACAACGTCTTATTGATCTACTTCCATGTTCATCTCGCAAACCTAGATCCGAGGATGTACCTCAAAGGACTTTTGAGTTCCATGACCCCATATTGATGTTTGAACCCCCTTGTGCTGATAGGATGGAGACCACAATGCCTGCCCTTAAGAGTTCGGTGCGTGTTGTATTACAAATATCGTCATGGCTTGCGATTATTTCGATTATCCGTGAATTATGGTCCACGGGGGGGAAGTCGTGGCAGTGAAAGATTGGGAGTTGAATGCTGGGCCCACTTAAACACTCATGACTTGCACGTAACAGAAATCTGTTCAGCCCGTCAACACAATGCACAAGGTCGAGAAAACAGAAACGGAAACATACGATTTCAAGGCAAAGAATTGTTGGTCCACATGGGAAATATTTATTTCCTTTTAAATTCCAGCACAGAAAAGTTCATTTCAGTTTATTTGGTTTCCATATATATTCATTTATTAAATCCAACCCATAGAAAATGTTTTAAATCAAATGAAGCTGGGTAAAGAGAGGGACGGACGGTTTCATTTTCTCTTAAAACAAACAAAAACCCTACTAAGAAAACGCAATCTTCACGTGTCTCTGTTTTAATTATTCAGTCCCCCCCCTTTTTTTTAATTTCTTTCCTTATGGTGCTTTGGTTCAAGCACATCTCTCTCTATATATATAGAGATCTCACTCTGTTGGGTGCTAATAAGAGTTCATTGCTTTAACTTTATTAGAGTCGTCTAATTTACTGAGAGAAATGGAACAAGGCAAAGGAACCAAGTCCTCTTCTTCTGTTTCTCCCTTTGCTGATCTCTTTGGCCCAAAAGTGTCACCTTCATCTACTTCAAACATTTTGGAGTCCATATTTCCTCCTCCACCCAAGGTATTCTTTTTCATCATGTTCAAAAGTTGCAATCTTTCTTGGGCTTTTCTTTGGTATTCAATGTTTTTGTTAATGGGGTTTTTGGTTTATGTCACATGGAGTTTCAAAGATCAAAACTTTTCTTCTTTCAAATCTGGTTATTTGATACTGTATCAAAAGATGTCGATTTAAAGATTTTTCCTTTTTATGACTGGGAAATTTTATTGAGGCCATTGTTTCTCACTATTGGTTCTTTTTTTCTCTTGGTTTTTTGTATTGTTTTTGCTTGTGTCGTCACATATGTTAGCATCTGCATGGCATGCAACTTCTCTTTTAAAGGCCAATTGTCTGTTTGTGCCTCTTTCTTTTTGTCTCGATTGTTTAACCATGCTGCTGTTGGTTTAGGTGCCTAGAGGACAGTATCTGGTGACCAAAAAGAAGGATTCCCCGTATGAGACCCTGAAAACAAAGCCTGGAGACTCTGGTTTGTGCATCACTTTTTGCTTTTACAGGATATCTACATTTTATACAACTTAAGACGGGATTTTGCTAATTCTCTTGCAACAGTCTTTATGATTTGTATTTGATTTAACACTATTGGCTTTGTACATTTGAGCAAAACAAGCCCAGTGTTCAAAGTGCATTAGAGATTTTGTGTAAAAGTACATTACTTTTGCTTGCTTTTTTGAAATTAATTGACTGGACTTGTCAGGTAATCCTTCTAAAGGACATGAAGGTGCATTTCAGAGTGCAGCAAACGAAGAAGTGGATTCCATTTATCCGCAGCAATGCGTGAATCCATGTAGTCTAAGTTCATCGATCTTCTACGGCGGCCAAGACGAATGCCCTATCCCTCAGGCTTACCGTGGCACTGGAATAAACTCTATGGTGAGTACATCAAGTTGCCCTATAGGCATGAACTTATCCAGTGACGGGATGAACATCTGGAGCATTCTTTTTGCATATAGAATTCGAATAGTTTAAATGTTAAATCTTTTGATTCGGAATCTACTAACATGTCTTTCATAACATTCTAGTTCAAGGATGATGAAGAAGATGATAAGGAGTATGCAACCAGAGGAGACTGGTGGCAAGGTATTATTGTGTATATTATGAGGAATTATAGCATATATAACTTTTTTAGCTGGAAGGTTGATTTTTTTTCTTCATTATTTGTGCAGGATCTCTCTATTACTGAGTGTTTTCATGCCAATCAACATACTTATCAAGGTATCGTTAGTCAGATTCACTAGAACAGCCAATCAACATGCTTATATAAAGGTCTCGTCGTATTTAGAATAGCCAATCAACATGCTTATATAACGGTCTTGTCGTATTTACGTTAATGTTCCGTTAATTTTGATTGATCAATTAATATCTCACCCGAAAAAACGCGGGTGAGACACGCGGCATTTTTTCCTTGTTTTTATCTGATAAAGTTGCATCTTTACCCTTGGCAGGTGCATAGGAAGACAGGCAGCAATTTAATCCTTTTCTAGTCATATATGGAAGTAGACCACAGTAATCAAGAATTGCAGACAGCCGGTTGTTATTTACTTACTCCGGCCGAGCAAGTGTAGTAGTTCAGCTCCCTTCTTCACTGTGAAGAATGAGGAGAGTTGGTCTTTTATTTTCGTTTTTAATTATGTGAAGACTGTGTAAGTGACCTTGATTTAGTATGATGAATTACTTTGTGCTTTGAACAATATGGTTTCCATGTCTTTGTTGGCTTCTTTTGTCCCTTAATTAACAATCCAAGGAGCAAAATAAACCCAAATTGAGGAGCTTAGGACTTAAGGTTACACTTCCATAAAAGATGAATCTGAGTGGACATATTTTGCCTTTAAACTATCAAAAGTGCACTGCCTTTTGAGATACCTGAAAGCACCACTTTCATTTGTGTCCTTTCTATTTACCTATCTGAGCCTATAGATATTTAGGCTAAGGTTATGGTTATTCCCTATCCAACAATAACCTGCAGATTCAAGCAGTCGTTGTCTATCAGTTGGTGGGGGCAAACAAATGCCTTTAAATGGTCGTTAAATAAAGACTTGAAAGGGTCAGGAAAAATACTCTGCAACCACACATTTTTGTGAAAGTCGATTAAGATTTTGATGTTACATTTATCTGTAGTTGTCTTCATGATTGTTAAAACATTCCTTTTAACTTCTATAACCATTGTCAAAAGAATCGTATCTTCAGAATCAGTTGTCGATATTCAATTGGCTTTTTTCTTACCAGGAACAATTTTGAGACAACAGATAATGTACTGAGAAGCATGAACCAGACAACTCAAAGTTGTTTATAGACATATGCATCGATGATACAACTTAAATAACAGGGCGAGTGTTTGTAGTTCTTAGGCATCTTCCTATTTCTACCAAATATTTAGAGAGTTATAATAGAAAAAGGTGAAAGACTGCTGTCTTTGGAAAGTGGTTCATGGTGTGCAACCCCAGGGCTCTTTCTCAGTGAATGGCTTCTGTTTCAGTTAACTTGTTGCCTCGTTTGGACATTCAAACGATCCCGTTGTTTCTCGAGCTATGCTTGAACCTGATTCGGTTTCTTCGTTTGGGTTACTGTATTCCTTATCTCTTAAATCAATACTAAGATAATCTGTCAACAAAACCTTTTTCACGCCGATCCCGTGCTGTTGTTTTTCTCCCTTTGCAGGGCTAACCAGATGTGCTGGTGAAAAGTTTGGAGTTGTAAATGCAGTTCTATAAGGGGTGCTTGAGAAGGGGACTGAGTACGGAGTCGAAAGACTCTTCCGACCAATTATACCAACTCTGGCTGGTGAAGAGAATTGATCAGAATGCTTGGTCAAATCATCGACATAAAGCAGATCATCAATACGCGCCACAATGTTAAATGCCAGGCTCTCCAATACTCTCGAGTAGCTTTCGAGAATGGATTTTCCGATATCCTAAATAACACCACAATACTCAGTTATTGGCATGAATTCTGTAATCGAAACCATTCTTAAGAACAAATCTGAAAGGGGAACTAGTGACACAAACCTTGTTGTACTGAATCTTGCTCATATCTAAAGTGGTCTGGGGAAGGCCCGGGAACCGCTGCTTCAAGCAAAGAAGTAGGCTCTCGGCTCGATCAGCAAGTATTTCTCTCTTTTCAGCATCGACCATCAGATCCTTGACCATGTCCCATGACGACTTTGAACTAGAGCGAGCTGTGTTGACAGGTTTGAGATTGGTTTTTCTGCGCCACAGATATACCGAAGCCTCCACCCGGTTGGCGATTTCTATAGTTTGATGCTCAGAGGACAAATCAAGGCAATCAAGAAGACATTCAGGGGTAAACAGATCGGATGAAATATAGCGATAAATAAGATCTCCTAAGCTCGCTCGGCCATTCTGAAACAAAGTCTAGCTAAAGTTAACAACCAACACACTTGGTAGAATATGTACATTATATTCCTAATCCTTTATTTACTATCTTTTACCTTCGGAAGAGAGTCAAAATATGATTCTAGGACTTCCATGTCAGCTAGAGTAATGTTGTTGATAGCCATGGCAGCTTTTAGGATCTGGTTTGCACAGTCACGTTTATGCTGCAACTCCTTCCTTGAATTTTCATCGAGGCCTCCCGGTGGCACTCGAGGCACGGGGAGCCACCATTTCTCCTCTTGGCGCTGAAGGGCTTTTCGGAAAGGGGTTGATCCATCAGCCTGCTGAGCTAGAATCCCTTGGTCAACATACCAGAACTCTGCATCAACAAAACTATCTAATATCTCCTGCAAAAGAAAAACAGATGCTACATTAAAAATAAGTTCTTCAACAGAATCATATTTACGTATTGCTATACAAGCCGGTGAATTTTACGAGAAGCATGTTGTCCAGTTTTCGCAAAGCCGGGAGGTTAACGTAAAGATCCAATCGGGGCCTGCAAGTCATGACCTGAAACCATAGCAAGTGACATGTCATTTTAAACTCCTTCAAAACTGCCCTATTGTCATCATTTTCAAATCCTGAAACCATAGCAAGTGACATGTCATTTTAAACTCCTTCAAAACTGCCCTATTGTCATCATTTTCAAATCATAGCTTCACCTCTCGCTTGCTTCCACCCGGGATCGTCTGCCAAGTCGGTATCAACTCGACAATGTGATCGCTAACGGAAAGAAACCATTCCATCTCTCTTCGCCACATTGCTTTCTTCTCATGAGGTACTGGTTCTAACCTCCATATTTGCCCAAATAAGGTGGCTGAATAGTTAAGGCAGTGAATGAGAAATAGCCATTAAAACAAATGTGAAAACAATTAACCAACAAAAACCAGAAACAAATGCCAACATCGATAAATCAAACTCATATAAACTATATTAAAGGTAAAAGCAAGTGAGAAATTGTCAACATACCAGAAAGATTGGTAATGGCATTTGAAATAGCCAAGGCAGTGCAAACACCATTTCCAGAACCTGACATATCTTCACCAAGCAGCAATTTTGCAAATCTTTCCTTCATCAACTCAATCTCTGTAACCCCATTTTTCAAACACATCAGTGAAATGAAGCAAGCAAAGGGGGAAAATGAGAAACATGTTAATATGATAATGATAGTCAAAGTACCTGAAATTGTGGAACTTTGTTTCTCCAATATTCTGCCATTCATGGGGGGTTTCTTTCTATCTTCACTAAAATCACTACAAGTGCTGCCTTCTGTTTCAGCAATTTCATGCACATGCCAATCTATTGAAGGCGGTGAATATAAATCTTCTTCCTCGGAACTACTGTGACTGTGTTCTTCCTCGTGCACTGTTGTTTCTGGTGTCAAAGGGTCAGAGCTTGAACTACTTTCACGACCCTTTTGGACCCCATTATCACCAAAGCTTTCATTTTTCTCAACTGAACTCCCCATTTCACCTTTCTTTTCTTCAAAACCAAGTGAATCACAAACCGCAGATTTGTTAACCATCATACTACCACTAGACTCTAATCCGTTTAAGCAACATACATGTGGCTCTATAGCTTTGTAGCATAAGCTTTTAACAGATTTTGAAACCGAAAAGCTTCTAGCTTTTAGCTTTGGCACAGGTAAACAAAGCTTGAGCAGGGCAGAGTCTACTTGGTCTCGGTGGGTGAAAGCTCCATCCATGAGGCTGCAACCATGCCTGCTTCAAAGAGGCAAAATGGAAGTAAAACAACAAAAAATACAAAGAAATGGTTTTTTTTTCTTTTATTTTCTTATTGTGTGCGAGTGAAAAAGGACGGAGCTTTGTGCTTACACTGTATGGAGTAATAAAGCTGGTAATGACTACTGAAGCTTTGCTAAAACTATTTAAATAAACCCCCTAGTTTTACCCTTTTTGTTTTTTCCCCAAGTTGTCATGCTTTTAAGCAGACAGGAAAAGGGCTTGACAATCTCTAGGCAGTGTTTGAAATATAAAGTAGGTGATGGGAATCTATGCATTCAAATCCATGGTGTTCACCCTTTTATTCAAAGTTTTATCTTTCAAATTAGAACCCATTGCATTGTTGAGAGTGAGTGTGTTCTTCCTAAATGTTTCAAGTATAGTATATATATATATATATATATATATATATATATTATCAATAATTAAAAAAAGATTATGGACATATATTATATTTTATTATCACTCTAATCTTTCGAATTATGTTGCTTTTAAGCTCTTGATAGCACACATGTTCTTAGTTCTGGAAATAAAGAAGAAATTGTTGTCAAAACATGGTTTATTCACTTTGATGATGCTTACCGCTCCATCTTGTCTCTGTCATATTTCATGGATTTTCAAAATGTGGAATCTTCTTTTCCAAACCCGAATCGAACTTCGACAAAATCTTTACTTTGAATTGTGAATGAAATCTCAACAACATATGATTTGGATAGAAAGCAGGGACTAACTTTTCTTTCTTTTTTTCTTTTGCCTTTTATTTGAATTGAATTCCAATTATTATAGCAATTTTGCTTTATAACTGACATTAGTTTTAGAGAAAGAAATCAATTTCTTTTAATTTTTGAAGATCATAGCTTTCTTGTTAAAGAAAATTATCTCGAGGGTAAAAGTGCGTTATTTGGACATGAAAGCAAGAGGGAATCAAAGCATTATCGTCGTAATGGAGAACAAAAGAGAAAATTGAGATTGAAGTGAAGATCTTGTATTGATTAGGTATATTTTTAAGAATATTCAAAAAAAATTCAAACATAAATAATAATATTACTATTATATATAATTATTTTTTCATTGATAGTATATCAAATAATAACCCTAATAATGTTTTTAATTCGGCTTTTACTAACTTGTAAGGATTTTGATTTTTTGCCACTTTTGATTAATGTTAATGTTGGTTGTAGGGAAGATTTAGGTGTAGTTTGGGGTTTGGACCTAAAAGATTGAAGGTTTAGGGTGTGGATAGTTTAAATTTTTTTTTCCTGATGTAATAGGTAGTTTAAAAAAATGAATAGCATGAGTTATATAAAATAATATTTATTCAGAATTTTTTTAATAATTGGTGACGCACATATTCTGCAAACATAACTACTCAAACTTAAGGCCTCTAGAGAGAGCAACATTCTCTTCTACTACTGAAATCACGTGATAGGTTTAGGTAGTTTCAAATTTAAAAATCTAGTCTTCGACTTTAATTTTATAAAATATGTTTTCATGTTTGTCTTTAAAAATCTTAGTTTGTCTATTAGTTTCTATTTAATTATAATGTTAATAATAATAACTATGAAAAAAATAAAATAACTTTTTAGCTCTTTGTTTTGTATACTTTTTATAAATTTGTCCTTTAAAATATAGGGTAAATTACGCATTTAATACTTAAACTATCACTTTTGTTTCGTTTTGTAAAAATATCATGTCACAAAAATATTAATAAAATAAATTAGAATGATTATAATAGGAATAATTTGAATGTTGAGTAATTAAATTAAAAAAATTAAATTTTAGTGACCAAAATAGGACTATAGGAGTGAGAATATAGTTGAATGATGAATGATGTGATTTACTCATAAAAATGCCATGTAAAACAGTTACGTTAAGGTTTTAACGGCATGGTACCAAAATGAAACCTAAATTAAATGTTAGGTATGATTTTGAAAAAAAAAATAGGTATCAAAATAGAACAAAAGTAATAGTTTAAGTATGAAATGTGTAGTTTACCCTAGAAAACATAAGCATAAATGATTGAAAACTTGTATTGTTTAATTAATGGTAATTTTTATTTTTTAAAAAGATTGATAAAAAGTATGTATAAAAATATTAAATTAAAAAATATTTTTACATTTTTTATAGCTAATAGGCCGATATAAATTGAAGTTTAAATTTTAAAATTATGTAGACATGATGTATTTAAAACCTTTACAAAGGCCTCTTTAATTTATCCCCCAAGTAGTTTTGGGTTTTAGTCCTTTATTTCTATAAAAAGTGGGGGTTGGCTTTGTGGCTCCAAAACTCTCAAATTGAATGGAAACCCTTTATTTTTATTTTTTTAGTAAAAAGGTATGTATTCGGATAAGAACCATATACAAGGGAGTATTATCATATGCCTCGTTAAAAATCCCCTAACTTTGAATGTGTTGCATAAGTACAATGGTCCAACCAAAAAAAAATCTCTTTTGAAATTTGAAGTCATCTTTTCTTTTAAAGTTTGAATATAAGTGGGTGTTTAATTAGCCCAAAAAGTAGAAGGGATTGCACCCTAACTTAAATATATCTGTAGAAGAGATGCTTCAAATTTAGGGTCTACCCTAACTTGAATTCTTTATAAGTAAAGTTGTTGATTAGAGATTAATTATTTAGATCATACCATATCATTGATTACATGAAAATAGGCTTCTTTTATATTTAATAATAAACATAAATTAGAAGAATATCACACATGTTCATGCTCAAAAGTATCCATGATTTTTTTAATATATTTGAGTGCTAGCACATAATCTCCAAGATATTGCAATTGCAATAATACTAACTAAATTAAAACTTATTTGATAATAATTATGAGTTTTAACATAATTTTGATAATTAAAAATGTAAACTACTTGTTTAGTCATACAATTTTCAGTGTATTTCTCATTCAACTATATTTTTTATCGTTAAACTTTTGAATTCATTCATTTAGGCCACTTAGCCATTATTTTTTTAACTTTGTTTAATTATTATTTTTTTTGTTGTGAAATTATAAAAAACTTCAAACTTTTCTCTCGTACCCAAATTTTTATATTCTTTAATTCATCGACATCGGAGTATTTTCTTTTAAATCTGATCAGAGAGGTCAAGAATAAATGTGAAAAGTAATATATATTGATTCTACATTGATTAGATGGTGGGATTGTAAATTGAACCAAGATAAAGTTGAAGCTTTGATTGAGTTTTGTTGATTTTAAGGAAAAACTAATCTGGAAATGAAAGAGGAGAGAAAGGAGAATGTTTTATTACCAATTATATTGCAAATAATGGTAGAACAAATCCGAAGAAGAATGTCTATAATGAGAAATAAGAACGTTAAAATTTTAGGATAATTTTAGAAATAAAATGTCCCAAAAACACAATTTTTTAGGGAGAGTTTAAAGGCTTAATGTTCGAGTGATGTAAACAAGCATAATTCGAAAGTTTAGTAATGGAATTGAAATTTTTTATAGTTGAGTGACAAAATCAAAAAGAGTGCTAAAAGTTGGGTGACTATACATATGGTTTACCCTTTTAAAAATATTGAGGTTTCAACTAGAAGTGAGCAAAACTCGACTCGACTTGAAAACCTGATTTTTTCGACTCGATTTGATTTGAAAAAACTCAACTCAAATTGAATTTGTGTTGTTGTTTCATAAACTCGACTCGAAAAAATTTCTAGTTCAAATCGAGTTAAAAATACAACTCGAATAGTAACTTGAATAACTCGAAATTTTTAATAATTAATTTATTGATTTTTAAGTTTGAGTCTAGTCCCTTGACTCTGTATGATATATGTATATCACATATGAAAAAACAATATGAATATATATATATATTGTATATGGTTATAAAAAACCATTTAAATTGGAATCAAATAGTATTATAATATTAAAACATTTACAATTAGATTTAAATATAAACTCGAAAACTAGAATCGATTTAATTGAACACTCACCCTTAGTTTCTACAATTTATGTAGCGCTTAGATTAGCCCAAATATACATATGCCAGCCGATGGCTAGCTCATGGGTAGTAGAAAATTGTGATTAGGCTATTAATTAAAAGTCCAAACAAGGAGCCCAAATATTCATATCGTTTAATATGCTTCCTGCAATATCTCATAATTCAATCTAATACTGAATTTGTTTCTTAGCACCATTTATGACAAGGGAAATCCGTTGACCTTCTGTTTTGTATTCTCATTGTGTAACAGTTTCTAGAAGTTATATCAATGAATGCTAATTGTTGATCCAATGAAAGCGAAAGGGAATCGGCTGTGAATAAATAATAAGGATGCAGAATAAAAGCACCGACATGGTCAAAAATGTTCTCAACCGAGAACGATTCTTCGGGGGAGAGACCATTAGAGTACCTGACATTGCTGCAAACTTCATTGCATTTTGGCTTAGGGCCATTCACAAGTTTCTGACTGCAGACCAACTCCCCTTGCTGGTGTGAAGAGTTTGAAAGCCGCAATGCTGTTAAGGAACACCAGCTTCCTGGAGATAAACTAATAACCTTTTGACTATCCGGTAATGGATGAACAGCTTAATGTTGATTTAGATGCGTTTATTATGTCATGTCATTTAATTTATTATTCAAGAATTGAACTTTCTTCCAAGTTCATCGCTCGGTCTTTTTTACTATCCATTATAAGTTAGTAATATAATTAACATAAAGATCCCTGAAACATCACTGATTACATAAAGATGATGAAAGCAAACCCATCTTCCTCCCTAATAAAAACATGAAACCAAAGTCTCCATCCCAGGTGTGGAGACATAAAGGTGAGATGATGGGTGAAGAAGTGAAGGTATTTGGAACTTGGGGAAGCCCTTACAGCCACAGGGTAAAGCTTGCTTTACAAATTAAAATAATCTTTTTACAGGGAAAATGAAAAAAGGGTTTACCTCCTTTTGTCTACGAGCAGTGTCAATCATGTCAAGAACTTCAATATCAGTTTTAACATCGTACTTCTTCATAACCTCTGGTTCTCTAAACACTAAACTG